CTCTTTCGTGTATTCCGCATCTCACACTTGCGTCGTAACATCATTTACTTAAGCACTTTAATCCGAGTTTCACACTTACGGGATACGTGAAGAGGCAATATAAATAAACAGGAATACCTTTGCGAATTTCTCAAACCTGTAGAACCTGAATACTCTTTCATTTCTATGCTATCTAAATATTTTCAACAGTACATGAATTTTTTTAAATTAAATATCAAAATATTGCATGAGCTTTTCATGAAAGTTATATAACTTTTTCATTAAGAGTTTAGCGTGGGTGTGTGTCGCAAATTTTTATAAGTCTGCTAATTTTCAACGTGGATGGTTTCACTCTTTACATGAAAACACTCTTAACAAAATGCAAAGATATTTCTATAAGTTTTAATATCAAAATTTTAATACTCGTGAAATTGATAAAACCTTTTAATTTCAAAATCTAGAATTTTTAAATCTTTCAATAGTTCGAATTTTTAGACTCTAAAAAAATTAATTTTATACTTTTATAATCTGAAATATTTGATTTAAATTTAAAAATTCTCAAAATTAATGCGATTAATAAAGACATTCATTCTTCAAATTTTTCTTAACATTCCAAATGTTTAAATTCTCAAATTCCTAAAATATCTGGAATTCTTCCTGGAATTCTTCCATCTCAATTATAGTGTCTAAAAATGAATTAAATTCTCGATTTTTTCACTTCTCTACATCTTGAGTTTGAATATAAAAAAATTAAACAAAATATTATTTTTTAATCTTTCGATTTTTCTTCTTATTTTTTTAAATCTTAAATTTTCAGATGCTTTTATTTCCGAGATTTAAAAATTTTCAAGAAAAATTCTCGAACTTCCTCGGAATAGATAACGATTCTTCATCCTTCGAATCTTCGGCGTCTGAAATCTTTAAATTCTCAGAGAAAACTGACATACAAAAGTGTTTAAATCCCGGAACTTTTTCATCCTCCCCGATTTCGTGGCGCGTGGCATATCCCTGAGAATCCTCGGTTTCTCAATTCTTTACGACTTAAATCCCAACGTGGAAAATTAAAGAGCGCGGTTGACGTCTTCACCGAGTTTCCCTCGATCCCCTCGAGACATCACATCATGAATGTTATCGACGTGACGTCGAGCGGAATTCGCACGTGCGGCGGATGTACACGTGCGTGGACCATAATCTTGCAACGAGAGAACGTCCATCTCTCCCTTCCAATCCCCGTCTCCCTTCCTCATCCCTTTACCCTACTTGTAGTCACCGACGGACGTTATGACCTACGCTCGATCATCACGACCGCCAACAGCGGAAGTGGAATACGAGCTGACCATTATAGACGATGGAGACTGAAAGCGGAAGCGTATTTCAAGGAAGATTCATGTCTATACGGGTGACCCGTAAGCCCCGCGTCAAAGTTTAACGACGAGTGCGATGAATTATGGAGTGTGTTGTCTGGCGGAAACTCTACACTGACTTTCGAGATAAAGCGCTCAAATGGACGTGTAAGAATGGCTAGGATTGTCTCCACGAGTGTAAAGTATTAATAAATGATTTGTAGGAAGCGTCAAATTTCGTGCGCAGAAGTGCTGATAATCAATTTACTTAAAAGACGATATCTTAAAATTGCAAGAGAGCAAGTCTCCTAAAACAAATATTTTTAATAAAAATTAATACGAAAGTAAGAAATATTTTTAATACAAATTAAAACAAAGTTTCTCTCAAAAGTAGATATAAACATAATTAGAAAAATATAAAAGGAGAATAATAACACATATTCTTTTCGATGAAATAATTTCATTAGAATATATAACATATTTGCAATATCAATTTTTAAAAAGTTACGGCAAATATAAAAAAGTATGTGTTAATACTAGCCAAAATTTCAGATATTAATAGAAATATATAAAACCATAAAAAAACATATAATTATTTCTATTTTATTTGTAATTATAAATTTTAATTTATTAATTTGTAAAAAATAACAAAACTCATGAAAAAGACGAGCATCAATTTATTTACAATCGTTGCGCACAGTGTAAAAATTATTGTTTACATTCTAAAATCTCTCGTTTTTTCATTTAATTTCTTCTAATGAAAATTAATCTATCATAAAACGATAGATTAAAAAGAAGATATTTTTATTTATATATATGATTCAGTATAAAGAACTAAATTCGCGAGCGATCGATTAATTTGTCTTTTTTGTTCGTCGCTTAGAGATCTAATTAAAGGTTTGCAAGGTAAACGACACTGATAACACGAGTAGATCTGACGCAACGGTTTTATTAGAGCTCGCAGAATATTTCGCTGATCAAATAGACACGCACTAAAAAAAAAGCAGGCGCGATGATATTAACAAAAAGTGACGACAAGCGTATCGCGATTTTATCGCGATGACGAATGACGGACATCGAGATGACAGAAAGGGGCAATGCGTGTTCCCGGCCCTTAATCCTCGGTATACTCGAAAGGCTCGGGTGGATCGGCCTCCTTTTCCTCCTCCGGCTTCGGTCCGAAAGCTGAAACAAACCGAAAGTGCTCAGGCACACGCCCTTTCGGCACACTCTTCGGTGCTGGAGTAGTAAGAACAGACAAAACTGCTCTTGTTCTCGTAATAATTTTATTCAAAGTAATACAAAAAAATATTTTTAATTTTTTTATGCTTTTCTTATTTTCTCTTCGAACAATATTAAGAATATATTATAAATTATTGATAAAATATTGCGTGTAAAAGATACAAGCTCTTGAAAATTTATAACTAAATTCTCCCCTCCTCTCCTTCTCTATAAATTAATAATAAAAATATAATAAAAATATTTTAAAATCTTCCTTTTTTAATATTCTTTTAAAATTTCTGTCTCATTTTTTTTTATTTTTTCCTATCTATTATAAATACAAATTAATAACATTCTCTTTTCCCCTTCAAGATCAATTTATAAACAAAAATAGTTTTAATCGTTGATTGATAAATTTAGAATCTATTACTTACCGGCGACAGGCTTGACGAGCTCCTCCTCGGTGTCGGTCTGTATATGTTTGACCATGACGATACCTCCAATCTGAATATCCTTGACGGGAACGTAAGGACTGCCCTCGAGCAACTGGATGACCTTTAGTTGCTGACGCAGAATTCGCGCAGGATTTTGAAGGATCTCCGCCATATCGAAGTTCGGCTCGGACTCCTTCTTCTCCTTTTCATCATCCTTACTTCCTTTCTTCTCGGCCTTCTCCTTGGGCTCCTTAGCCTCCTTCTCGTCCTTCTTCTTGTCATCCTTCTCCTTCGAGGACGACGCGACTTCTTTCACCTCGTGAAGTTCCTTCGTCTCCGAAGGCGGATCCTGCAATATGTTTTAAGGTTTTCCCCCGTCGCTTGTCAGCAATCTATTATCCTGTCTTTTTCGTGTATTTGCCATGCAAATCACCGCGTTTACCACCAAATCCCAAAATAGGAAGAAATGGATTATCGATGTTTCGGAAGGAAATTGGTTTTTTGGCAGGAAAAGGACTTCGGTCTTGTGCAAAGAACTTCATTCTTGTTTATCTGAGTTCTTCTAACTTGAGACTCGATATATATATTTAAGAGATGAAAATGTGTGCTCAACACATGTTCACAGTTTGCATCACACAATGCAAACAGATGTAAGCCAAAAATATATAAAAACAATGCTACGTAAAGATTTAAACAATTCGCTTGCAAATCTCTACATAAAAATTTTACAAACACGAAACAGCAAACGTTAAAAATTGTACGATCAAACATTGCAAAATCTAAAAAGTTCAACAATATATATTGTAACATTCATGATTCAAAAGTTCACGAATCATAGAATTAACAGATAAAAACTTGCAAGAAAAAAATGCAAGAATACAAATTATCAGAAGAAATGTAAATATTAAAACATAGAAAAACTTAAGACTTGAGTTAAGGTAAAAATTTAAAATATCAAAAAAATCTGGATTTCAAGGAGTCAAGGATTCGAAAATTTATTAATCTAAAAATAGATTCTAAAATTCGTAGAATCTAAAAACAGATCTAAAACTTGCAGAATTGAAAAGTCCAAAATATAAAAAAACCATAAAAATCCTAAGAGATTCGTGGATCTTAACATTTCAAAATTCGATCGATTCCCTATTATTTTAATCAAAATCAGGTCTTAAAATCAAGTTGTTAAAACACCTCGAAATTTTCCGATAAGTATATTAAAAAAAAAAAAAAAAAAAAAAAAAAAAAAAAAAAAAAAAAAAAAAAAAAAAAAAAAAAAAAAAACGGTCACAATAGAGGAAAAATAGCAAGAATAATATTTTTTCCCTCTTATAATTCTTATAAGAATTATTTTTAATGTTAATTTATAATATCAATCTAATATATTAATGATTATCGAGATATAAACAAAAAGTACTTTTCAAAAGAGCTAGTGATTTGAACGCGACGACAGATAGACTGCAGAACTTTATTTCACCGAAAAAAAGGACTTCGTATTAAAAAATTTCCACGACCATTCTCGTTTTTTTTTCCTCGATTAAAAATCCAATCCCACTGATATTTCGACAACATTTTCAACTCACCACTTCCATCTTCTCGTGTGAATCCCTGGCCTTCCTTTCGGACTCGCGTCTCCTGGCACGAGCCGCAATGCTGAGGACGGCGGTGGTGACCTTCTCCCGTTCTTCCCTCTTCTTCTCCTCAAGGGGTGCGGGATAAGCGTACATGCTCGGTCTGGCATCCGACCTGATCTTCAGCTTGGGCATCTTCAGCTGAGCATTGAGGGCGATCAAGCACGTGGGTGTGAATGCCAGGGCCAAGCAATGCGCCAATGGAAACCAGTACCAATACTGAGTGAACACTAAAGCACCAACTACCGCCAGCATATTCGTGTGTCCTGTTCGCGACTGTAAGGACACGGTCACGTTACGGCCGCCTAAGGAAAAAGCAAAAATCTGCTCGTATCCGCAGTTGCACTCTTGCAGCTGACTTTCTTTTTATGAACCACAGATCGAAATTTTAACTTATGACAAACAGTAATTGTACGTTCTAAATATTTCGTAAATTTGTAGTGCTTCAAGATATGAGATTAGATGGTTGTGCTTATAGAGAGTGAAAATTGTAAAAACGCGAAAATTCAAAAATTCGGGAATTTAAAAATGTATGAAAATTTAAATTCTAAGAAATCACAATTGCTTCACAAAAATAAAAAAATATAAAATTCTAAAAAAAGCTAATTTATATAAATAAGTTGCAAGGATTTTTTAAATATTCTACATATATAAAATTCTAAAATTACGAAAAAATCAAAGAATCGAAAGTTCCATGAAGCCAGAATATTTTTTTCTAAAACCCATATATTAAATTGTTACTCTTCACCCCATTGCAATAATAGAACTGCATTCAAAGAAGAAAATATAAGCAATTTTAATTTTCTAAAGAGAAATCAAGTTGGTCGAAGAATACGTAATCAAAATTTTAAAAGATCACGGATCATCACGTGCGAGAAATTCTAAAGATGAGGACTCACCAGCATCGATGATTCCTTGTGCCAAGATGGCCCCAAACTTAGCCATCACGTCCTCGTGTTTGTCTACGATAACCTTAGCATATAAAGCTCTGAAATCCTTGACGCGAGGACACGTCGACTCCGTCTGCTGAATCAGGATCATGGCGGAGGCGATCAACGCGCCCTGCCTGACAAAGTTCACGGGATCGTTGGTCATCGGATCCAGCAAAGCGATAGCTTCCTTTAGACCGGTACCCGCGCAGGCAATTCCCAATGCCATCGCCGCGCCGTACCTCACATGCGGATTGTAGCTTTCCGCTAAGAGGGACACCACACTAGGACACTGTTCCGGAGTCCTGAAACATGCGAGAAAATCGAGCTCTTGAATTTTGCATTCTCTTCCTCTTCGCTTTGTGGCATACATTTGCATCATGTTTAATGCATCACTATTCGAGTAATTTGTGTTTTATTCACATTATCGATGTACATTATAATTTAAATCAATATTAAATATACTGAATAATTTTTCTTTGTATATTTTTTTATATAAGAATGATAAATCTTTTGAATTCTCAGCGTTTAATCCTTTTTTTTCTGTTTTGCTCCAAATAGATTTAAAATATCGTCAATAAGTGGGAATTTAAAAATGGAACAAATGCAATAAAAGGAATAAAAGGAGGAAAATAAAGGTTCATAAATCCTTTATAATTCTAAATTTGATTGCAAATTTTATAATTAATTATTAACAACCTCAACTTTTTTTAGATTATTCGTTGAAAAAGAAAAACATTCTATTATCTTAGGAAAGACTTTATTAATCATAAATTTAACGAACCTCTCTGTCTATTAATATTTTATAAATATAATATACTATATTTTTATAACGGTTTAGAAATTAATTGATATAATAATTTATTATTTTAATTAATTTAATAATATCCGAAAGAGAAAGTACACGTTCAGCAAATTCATATGCGATTTAATATATAAACGTTAATTATCAGATACATTTTCTCATCCTGTTTCAGGAAGACGATTCGGTGTTGGTTGACGGTGCCTGTCAAATTCCCGATCCCCTCTATAAATTAATCGGCAGCATAATCTGCTTCTACATCCCACTGGGCGTGATGCTGCTAACGTATGCACTAACGGTGAGATTGCTAGCGGAGCAACAGCAAAACATCGGTGGAAAAGGAGCAGGTTGGTCATCAGGATGGTTGGGTGCACCTCAGGGTGCATCTCAGGGAGCACCTCCCACGGCAGGTTTGTGTATTGTCGTGTACACTAGCCTGTTCCCCCATCCCCAAAACTTCAAAATCGATTCATTCTGAATCGCTTTCATATGTTTAATCTTTTCTATGTATTCGAGCCCGCATTTGATTCCATTTTTTATTTTAAAAATAGATTTATAATTCAATCCTTTTTTTACTTTTTAATTTAATTCGTTTTTCTTAAATTATTAAACAATCGAAATTTAATTGAAAATTCGTATGGTTCATGATATTAACGTTCAAGTATCCTGGCATTTATGAACCGTCATTCATTGTTCTGAATTGTGGAGATATATTAAAACTTGAAAATTTCGCGCTAATATATTTAATGAGTTTTCAATCTCTCCTTTCCCTTCCATCTCTTTTACACGCTGGAGAATTCTTGATACTTTGTAATTTTTCGGCAAAAAAATCGCAGTTTTTTACGATTTTAATTAAATATAACAAATGGTTAAAAAATATTGTTCTTTTTCATCTACGCTCTTATCATTCCATAAACCACTTTTATCCGCTTTTCTCTCGCCCATTTGGTAGCGATAAAAAATTAAAAAATTGTTACGCCTCTAGAAATATTGTTTATACCATTTATCAATTTTTCGCCCATATTTTTCTCTCACACGCATACAAACATAAAATTGTATATAATATAACAAAGAAAAAATTTAAATACAAAGTTAGGAAATAAAACAAATCTTGATAAAAAATGCCAATGCACAGCGATATATCCTTCTCGCCGTCTTTATTCCTCGTTCATTGTCGAGCAATTCTTCCTTGCGACAATATTTCCCGGTTTTCCCCGAAGACACGCGACTTTAGTCGCGTTTATGCGAAAATGGGCGGCGCAGAGAGAGAGCTATATGCTATTCAGCCTCTTTTTTTGCGTCCAATAAAAATTATTTATTCCGATTTATCGGAAGCCCGCAGCTTCAAAGGGAAGTGCGCGTGCCGGGCTTCGCTCTCATAAACGTTTCCCGGGAATGCCGGCGCAAATTCGTCCTCCTTAACAAAGCGCTCTCGAGGGAGAAAGCGTTCCTTGGTTCTCTTCGTCCCACTTCCAGCGAGTTTCGCCGGAAGCCATCGCATCTACTGTCGCTTTGATTTTACTCCGGCAAATCTCCGATTACCGCGCAACAAACGGAATTTGCATACCAACTTCACGCCAGAATGCGCCGCGCCATTTTATCACACGGCGCATCGCACAATTATTGCACTTTAAAGCGCGTTCTCGATTAGGTGTCTCTCTAGTGTGAATTTCAGAATGGGAAAGTCGAGAGGTAATCTTACAGTTATCGTAGAAAATTAAAAACGTCGCGAATAAGAGTAGGTTATTCGCTTGAAATCTTTTTCTTAAAAGCTTTTCACAAACTCTCAAAGCGATTCGAAAATTTCTGCCGGAATAAAGTGAATACTTGCTAGTTATAAATTATTTCTCTCATCTATTTGCACGAATCTCCGTCGTGTGCAACTAGCCATTATCGTATAAATAATTCGACGCGCAACATCGAGGATGCAGGATCGGTCGCATGATTAATGGCTTCGAAGCCAGTTGGTTTCTTTTCCCTCTTCCTTTTTGCGCGATAGATCGATCCCGAAGTAGGCGGGCCTCTGTCTAGAGGCACTCGCCGACAAGAAATTTCGCCGGCACGTCAGCGGAAGCTCGCCGCCGACGTCCACGACGAAGATATGCAAATGCCGGGCATTATGCAAAGAACTCGGATGCGACACAGTATGCTGAGAAAGTCGCGTCCGGCCACTCGCCGATATGAAAATTAATCGATAGCTCGACGGCGGAAGCGCGATTTTTACCGGGCACTTAATATTCCGCAGGATTGAAAGATTTCAGAACACGAGAGGAGATCCTTTGAGCGTCTCGTTACAAGCCGGGACTTACATCGACAGACACTTAAGAATTCCAATAATTTGAAAGAAGGAATAAAAAATGAAAATTTTAAAGAAATTAGATTATTTCTGAACTATATAAAATGATAAAATGAGAAATAAATCGTTTGAGCAGTAATTCGTAAATATTTCTAAAGGATCTCAGTACTCAATATTTGCCTCTAACATTGTTAATTCATTGATTCGGAGATTGCAGAACGCGCGATACGAGAAACTCGTTTGAGCTTTCTAAAAAGATTTAAAATTACAGAAAAAGACAGAAATATACATGATCTCTCGTCTTCGATAAAAAATAATTCGAGCGTTTTTCCTCGATATTATCTCCAATCCGAAATCGATAAAATTCTACGCCTATAAAACTCTCCAATAAAAAAAAAAATCACCCCAGAATCCCGTCTTCCCTTTCCGAAAGAAAAAAGAAAAATTTTAATAAAAATAAGATCGCTGAGATCCCCACCGACAATTTACAGGACTCGATCGACGGGGCACCTGGAAGAGATACCTCCTGAATAAGAGCTCGGGCGGCAGCGGAGGAACACCGCAACACACATCCGGTACGTCGACCGACACCGAGCTGACCACCATCGACACCCACGAGCTCTGGCTGCCGGAAAGCGAGCCGCCACCCTCGGCCATGTCCGCCCTTCACGCCTTCGGCGCGGAGATGCTCAAGCTGTCGAGGGGTCTCGAGGGTATGGCCGGCAGCCCCGGTAGTCAAACCCCATCAAAATTGACGCCCCAGCATCAGCAGCAGCAGCAACTGCTATTGCCGCTGCAGCAACATGGTCCGTCGCCGCGCAGATGCAGCTTCCGCAACGGGTATGCCGAGTCAGATATGTGTTTGTGAATCACAAATCCTTCTGTAAGCTTGTTTCGTGTCCTATCATTGGATGTTTTGTCATTTGTCATAATGTGTCATCTATAGATTTACATATAATATGAGAGAGAAAGAGTCTTTCATATATATATATATATATATAATTTGAATAAATTAAGAACAATTAAAGTCAGTACTAATTGAAAAATGTATAAATTAAAAATATAAAGTATAAAAATTAGAAAAAGAAATATTAAAAACGGATTATATAATAATAAGAAATAAAAATATAATATTTCAGTTTGCTTTATATTTCTCTATAATTTTCATTTCTAATTCACCTGTGAAAAAAATATTTCATAAAGTATCTTTTACTTCAAAAATACTTTTTTAGAGAATTTACTAAAAAAAAGACTTTTTTTTATTTTCTCTATTTCTTTGAATACTTGTTACCTTTATGCTAAAGAAATCGTTATTTTCTTTCTGGTATTGTAGCACTACCATATTGTTTTATGCAAAGCATATCTATATATATTACAATCTATCCCGGTGCAATTTTGCAAAGAGGGAATTTCTAAGCTTGTCTGGATTTACGCGGCAGATGCTTTCGCAATTATTAACGACATATCCATCGCGTCGTAACCCGTGGGCTTTCAAAACACGCTATTGTGCCTGACGGTGGCGCGTTTCCGTGCAGCAATACGACGGCACAAATTTACGTCATTTTGTCACTCCGGTTCGCACAACACGGTAACTATCACAAGACGCGGTTAGCCTCGCGTCAAGTCGACTCACGTGGCGGTCGAGAAGTTTCCCCCATGAATTTATGTCACCCTATATACTTGGGATTCACGCTCGCCAAAAATTTTAACAAAAAATTGTTCCATTATATTCGATATTCTCGTAATCTATCTAAATCCACGGCGTTAAATCAATGTTCGTTCCTCAATATTTCAATCTAAGTCTCGCGATATCTCTGTTGAATCCTGATAAAAATATCTTGTCAAAGTTTCTTTCCTAAAAACGTAACACGTTGCTTCGTGGATTTCGCCTTCCGATATCTCTATTAATAACATACCAAGAGAGAAAGTATTTTCAAAAAGATTTCCAAGAACACGCGAAACGGCTTTCAGAGAATCTTCAAACTCAATATTTGCCACTCGTATTTCGAGCTTAAATTTATTAAATTTTATTTTATTAAAATATATTTCTCCCAATATTATATTATATCGAAAAATATCTTGAATAAGAGAAAAATTTATTCCACATTATTAATTCATAATTTAAATATACAAAAAGTCTAATTCACATTTATTTTAATCCCTTAATATTTTTCGCCTAAGAATTTTAAAAAAGTAAAATCAATTTTATAAGAGCTATATATCAACTGAACGAAATCAATTTGATATTCATCCAAGGGATCTGAAATATATTCCTTCGAATATTCTTATACACAGGATCATCGCCTATACTTCTCGAAGGAATCGAAAGTAAGTTGCAAATGGAGAGAAGGGAAAG